GGGGGGGGGGGGCACGGGACACTGACGTGAGACACATCAATTGGTAGTCTCCCACACTCACCCTGACCTGGCTGGGGACTGAGTGAGCCTGCAACCGAGGCAAGTGCCCCTGGCCAGAATCAAACCTGAGACCCTTCAGTCTGAAGGCCGATACTCTAACCACTGAGCCAAATGGGCTAGGGCAATAGTCTCCATTCTTTAAAATTTTTTAATTGAGCATTTAAAATTACATAGAAGAAAATTAAAAATCCAAAAATAAACTGTAGTTTAAGAGCAATCTGCCTAATCCAGCCATTTATAGCTATTGCCAGATCAGCAAGAGAGAAATAAGGAAGCCCATGGGACTGTGAGGCCCAACTCCCGAGATGGAACCCACCTGGTGTGGGGCTCCAGCAGGTATGAAGACAGCATCTCCCAGGAACTGAACAATAGCCCAGCCTTGCACGCCATACTCTTCATAGAGTCGCTTACGGAGGGTCTGGTCCAGGTACCAACTTTGGTCATGAATTGGGTCATGATCAGGGGGATTCTCTTGGCCTTGCTCTTCTCCAACCTGAAGCCATGACCAAAATACAAAGACAGATAAATCAATAAATTACTACTAGCAATAATCCAACTTGTTGCAGCAATGTCCCTGGGTGGGCCAAAGCTTCTGCTTTATTCTATTCAACATCCTCTAGGTGTAGATTCAGGCTTTTGGGGCATTTTGACAAGAGGTATAGGTCTTTAATGCAAAGGGACTCCACACAAGAGACCCTAGGCAGGCTGTCTCTGCACCCCCAGACCTTTAATCTGTGAGCTGGGAGTCCACCTGGGGGCATACCTTTCGGAGCAGCTCCCGGATCTTCTCTGCATCCTTGGCTGCATAGATGTGCCATAAAGCACCGGGCTTCTCCTTTCCATCGTGAATCCTCTGCTTTGTCACCTCATCAGCATCTCCCTCATCAATTGTCTTGAGTACCTCTGTAAAGAGCAAAATGTCACTTTTCAATGTAACCAGACATTTCAGTACCTCTGAGTGAAGCAAAATGCCTAATTCAAACAAGTTTAGTCTCCACTACCCTTGTTTCTCTGGAGTAATACGAGGTAGAATGAAAGAATCAAAACTCATATAGGTCTAAGCTTCCTAAACATAGGAGGAGCCACCTTAACCTTTAAAAGACAGCATTTAAAAGACAGCATCATACAAACTCCATATATTTTCCAGGATCAACTGTACAAATAATGGTTTCTTTTCTTTTGCCTGTAAAAAAGAACGTATATGCTTAGGTTTCTGAGTATTTAACCTTTAAAAGACGGCTTTTAAATTCCGTCAGCATTTAAATTCGGCCAGCGGGACCCACTCCTTGCCAAGAACTAAAGTTCCCTTTCATCGGATAAAGGTTAATCTTTCTTAAGAGAGACAGCATTTCTAGAGGCATAGTTTTCCTTTAAAACATATTTCCTGTTCAAACTGTATGGCAATATTTTATGTTCAAATTTCTGATTATTTCCTGCTGCAAATAGATGAACTCTATCCTTTCTCAAGACCTCTTCTAAACTCTATGGATTCTGCCTGGCCAGTGTGGCTCAGCGGTTGAACATAGACCTATGATGCAGGAGATCTTGGTCTGATTCCCACCCAGTCAGGGCACATGCCCAGGGCTGCAGGCTCGATCCCCAGCAGGGGGATCAATGGCTCTCTCATCATTGATGTTTCCCTTTCCCTTCCTCTCTCTGAAATCAGTAAAAATATATATACATATATCTGTATATATATGTCTGTGTGTGTATATATATATAATATATATCTTTATTGATTTCAGAGGGAGGAAAGGAGAGGGAGAGAGAGATAGAAACATCAATGATGAGAGAGTCATTGATTGCCTCCTGCTTGGCCCCGACTGGGGATCGAACCCGCAAACTAGGCATGTGCCCTGACCAGGAATCGAACCAAGATCTCCTGGATCATAGGTCGATGCCCAACCACTGAGCCACAACTGGCCGGGCGATAAAAACACATTTAAAAAAAACAAAAACTCTGTGGAGTCTATGGATTTAAAGCCACAAAGCATAAAGCTTCTCTGGCAAGTTAAGACGGCTAGCTTCTAATGCTTATATATTATAATCCCCCAAAGGACAAAACAGTGGAAGGATCTGTAAGTGCATAGCCTCAAAAGCAAATGTGTGGCAGGAAATATACCAAAGTAATGATACTGATTATCCCTGAACCTTGAGATTTTGAGTTACTTATTTTCTTCTTTAAAATTGCCTCTGTTTTCTAAAACTTCCATAATTAACATGTATTAATCTTACACTGAGATAGCAGGGAGTGTAAATGCACCAAAATATCCCTTTTATGTTTCATTTCTGTGCAAGTGACCTGTCTTCCCACAGCTGATCTGGCTGATGACCAACAGGCCGGTTTGCCATTCCTTCTTTCCTCTTTGCCGTGCTACACACTCAATGGAAAAGGGTGGCATTCCCAGGAGAATGACTGGTCAGATAAAACCTCCTTTCATCTAGCAACATCCACTGGGCACCTACTACATATTAGGCCTGGTAGAGATTTAAGAAAAAGTCACTGGCCCGGCCAGTGACTCAGCGGTTGAGCGTCAACCTAGGATCCAGGTGATCGGGGTTCGATTCCCGGTCAGGGCACATGCCCGGGTTGCGGGCTTGATCAATGACTCTCTCATCATTGATGTTTCTACCTCTCTCTCTCCCTCTCCTTTCCTCTCTCTGAAATCAATAAAGATATATTTTTTTTTAAAAAAAAGAAAAAAAGGAAAAAGTTACTGGCCCTGACTGAGGGGAAGACACCCAATTCTACTCCCAAGGCCATGCCTCACCATCCTGAAGCAGTGGATTCTAGAGATCGTACCTTCATCATGAGCACCCTCCCCGATGGGGATCCCAACGTACACCATCACATTAACTGCATCAGACACATCCAAGTGAAGATTTGTTGTGCCAACTCTTCTATCTTCTGCTGTTATCAAACCTGAAGGCAAAAGATATGCAAGGTGAGAGAGAATATTTTGAAGAATCCATATAGACACTGCAAATGAAAACATACTCAAAGATGTTCTTACGCCCTAGCTGGTGTGGCTCAGTGGTTACAGTGTCAGCCTGTGGATTGAAAGGTCCCAGGTTCAATTCCAACCAAGGGCATGTACCTCGGTTGCCAACTCAATCCCTGGCCCCAACCTGGGCATGTGCGGAAGGCAACCAATCGATGTGTCTCTCTCACATCAATGTTTCTATTTCTCTCTCCCTTCCACTCTCTCTGAAAAGCAACAGAAAAAATATCCTCAGATGAGGATTAGAAAAAAAAGCAAACATTAAAAACATCCTGGATACTATTAACTTCCCCATCCCGACACTGCCCCTTATCATCTCTATACGCCCTTGATGGGTGAAACAGGAACAGTAATGCTCAAAAAGGCAACACGGGCTCATTTTCATACCATATGCATTGTACATCTTGGGGCCCAGATCAGGCCTTACGAAGTAGCTGGGTAGCCTAGAGGCCAGATTGAGCCTGCCATCTCGTTTTGTATATTCTGGAAGAGGAAGGTTCTCCATCAGATCTTCAAACCTACAGAAAAGCAAGAAAGATGACTTAACTTGATACTGGGGGAGAGGGGAGAGAAAGAGGTAAAGTTCATTTTTCTGTGATGACTTTGTGATGGCTTCAGCAAGTCTCAAGATAACCGACTGTCATTCACTAACCTAGTTGGCATCATGTCCCGAAAATCTTCCCCAGGAGGCCAGTCCTTGAGTTTGAGCACCATTGGCTGTCCATCTTCTGACCTTAATCGCTCTGGAAGACAGAAACACTCCTACAAACATCTGCTGGGTTAGCTGCTGCCTGATTTTCCAGTGACTACAAGTTTTAGGAGACTAAGCTCTTATTTTCAGACTTGTAAACTCCCATAATGGACTAAATGGGCTGCTTTTCTCACCCACTGCTTTAGTACATGCTCTATTTTCCACCTCAGAGAGATTCTATCCGCCCCCTTCCTTAGAGTGCAAGTTTGCTCCACACATACTGTGGAATCACATGCTTAAGTTCATATATGCACTGGGAGTCATGTGATTGCCATGCTAGCTACCTGGCTGGCACCAGGAAAGAATGTTCCTCCTGCCAAGAGGCTGTAAGTTGTTATTCCATGGGCAGGGCTGAACACAGAGATGCTTACTTCCCAGCCTGCCATTAGTGAACTAGATATAAAAGCTACTTACTGCATATGATCTCAAAGCCATCCCAGAAATCCCGAACTTTCACATCGGAAATTATAGCACAGTTCCTGCAGTTCACCAAGTCCACATCCTGGTCTCCAAATTCTTGGCTAAAGGCTTCTGGTTTCCAGAGTTCAGACTTGAGCTTTTTATGTACCCCTGAAACCAGCACTGGCTATGGAAACAAAAATATTCCATTTAGGAAATACTTTCAGCTCAGGGTTAAGGGACGGAACAGAAGGGTTTCCTGGGGGCTAAGTCTTCTTGTCCATGATGATTTATTGTTCCTTCCCAGTTTCAGAATCTATAGATTTCACCCCGTCAGCTATAGCAAATGAAAACTACTCCTACTCCATTACACTTGATTCTCACCCTGGGAGCATGCCATAGAAATCACTTGTGTTGCCCTGGTATCTATCACTATTTTGAGGTGAGAGGACAAAAGCTGACAAATACGCCTTTCAGAATATTTCCTCAGTAAGAATGAAAAGAAAAATCCAGACAATTCCACAACCTCCCCCTTCCTCAAGCACTTGCTAAAGTATAAAAATTAGGCAGTGCTATCACACTATCACAAAAACTTGTATGGCCCTGAAATATTTACCTAGAAAAGTACCACCCACTTCCACCCACTTTTGTCTCACCCCACACATCGCACTTAAGGATTTTCCCCTAGAGGTGTCATTAATGCCAGATCACCACCTAACAGGAATTTCAACTGCCCTATTAAGAACACAGAGCTACACAGCTTAGAAATAAAAGAAGCCTGGCCGGGCATGGCTCAGCAGTTAAGCATCGACCTAGGATCCAGGTGATCAGGGTTCGATTCCCAGTCAGGACACATGCCCGGGTTGCGGGCAAGCCGATCAATAACTCTCTCATCATTGATGTTTCTATCTCTCCCTCTCCTGTCCTCTCTCTGAAATCAATAAAGATATATTTAAAAAAAAAAAAAAA